CCCCAAAACCCCAAAACCCCAAAACCCCAAAACCCCAAAACCCCAAAACCCCTCTCATTCAATTTTCTATTGAATAAAATTATGATTTAAATTAGCAGCATGATGCTGGATTATAAGTGGCTAAGAAAACTCTATAAGCCTCAAAATTTTTGTGAAGCTCACTAACCAGAAACTACATCCAAGAAGGAGTGTCTGAGAGCTAGTTCTATTCTAAACAAGGATATGAACTAGCTTTTCAGACTTCTAGAAAGTAGGGTCTAGGTAAAATCTCCACAGATTTTAGGGTCTCTTCAAGAGAAAGAACTTCTATTTAGTTGATTTCGTCAAAGATATTCTTCTAATCAGACTATCCAAGGAGATAGTGAGGCTTGGTATCTCTGCAAAGTGGAAATGCAGAAGAGTTCCGGCAATGGACAGAGAGTGCCTTGCAGCTCTTCGATCATGATAGAGGAGGTACATGTATGTCTGTGGATACCTAATCTTGAAAGGCATCAATAAGCCCAATCATCTTAAAAGGCGAAGTTATGGGATGATGTATCTTTTCTAAAACAGAGTGTTATTACAAAGCAATGGGAAAAGAATAGAAAGTTCAGTCTTCTACGGAAGAGTCTGTCGCACATTGCAATAGCTATGCGAGCGCCTGCGAATGTTATAGAACAGCCTAGGTTTATCATCATTACTTTCTATTAAAAAGAGAGTGCTTACTGTTTAAATTCTGAAAATTTGGAAAGACAATAGATCCTTCTGAACAATGCAAGGAATAATTCCCCAGAGTGTGATAGACTTGAAAAGTCCACGGAGTGCTTGAAGATTCAGACTTCATAACGAATAGCAAGTTAGAAGAGTTTGGTAACGAGATATACCTCTGCAATGAGCACGAAAATTTGGTGAAAATTTATCGTGTCTGAGAATCTCGAGTCTTCTTTTTCAAAATGCTTTTGTATTGATACAAAGAAGATATCTTTGTTCAAATATCTCTGACAAATAAGCTCAACCTCTTGAGACTTTCAAAAGATTATTTATCGTGTTTAGAGAATCTTAGCAAAAGAAAACTCAAATCCTCTCTTTTCTCTCCAAAAACCTCTTCAATATCTTAGTCTCTTCTCGTCAAAGCATATCATATCTTCCATCTCAGATTTGCTTCAGCTCTTCCAAGCTCCAGTGCAAATCCCTGATCTCCTGCTTAACACGACAGGAAGATCCAAGCGTACAAATATAATTAAATATTATAAAGCACTCTAAAAATCTTCAATTAATAGTTTTCAAAGGGGTTTTGGGGTTTTGGGGTTTTGGGGTTTTGGGGTTTTGGGG